AGCTAGAAGAAAAATTGAGCTCGAGTTTCGGTAAAGAGTATGACTTTTATTTTAGAATAATTTTAAATTTTCGAAGCCCACTGTTGGGCAACCATTTTCTTTTATGTAGCGTTGTGACCACGGCTAGCTGTGAAGTTGTTAAACAAAACTGGTAAATTTTAACCCAGACAAACTTTAACATTTAACAAAAGGAATTTAATTAAACACAAACACTACACAAAAAAAGTTACATGACAAAACTAACAAGAAGTAACACAAAGAAATATTACTCAAATGAAAATAAAAAGTACATGTTCATAGTCGTCTGCCGAAACTCGAACTAACTTGTTCGGGCATAGGTGTTTTTGAATAGCTTTCAATAAGGTGGCACTGCAGTACATGGGGCTGTTTGCTAGCGTTTGTTACATTTCATATTTTATAAAACTTTAATGAATTTTTGATTAACAAGTTCAATGCTTTAAAAGCGAGCAACGACAACACACTACGGGGGGGGGGGGACCTTTTTATCTTCAGCGCGTGGAACTGTGTATTGGAAATTTTAAAGCTATGCTCATTTAAAAATTATTTTGCGATACTGCTGTTGAATTGAATTTTATGGTTTAAGCGCAAAGAACATGATATTTAATAAATAAAGGTAACACACAAAACGTTAAAAAGCAGCCCTTTGGACGCAATTTAAAATCTGAAACCTTTCAGAATTTTTTTGTTTTGAAATTTTACATCCTGCATGAAACTCCAGTTTCAAAGTGTGCTGTACGTATGATACAGGGTTGTGAAACTTCAAAGCAGTCAATATAACTGCCTGTATGATTTTAAGCGTTTAAGACTGGCAGAAGTGTCAAATGCAAAATATGGCAATCTTTTCATTAGAGAAAATATGTTCAATAAATATTCACTATCAAATTTGTGAAATTTAAAGGACAAATTCTATGTCTGCTTTGATGTTGTAATCATGGCTGAAAGAATATAATGAACATCACAATAATGTTCATAATGAAAAAAAGCAATGGCAGACTTTGGCAAAAATCAGTTGAAACTAATTGAAACAAATAAATAAAATAAAACTTAAGTCCCTCAAAACTTCTTTATTCAATACCAGAAGAGACATGATGAATTTTTCAACCATATCATTCATTATACAGTACAAAGTCCGAAATCCGGACTCGTTGTGACTTCAGCGATTCCAGATTTGGGATTTTTTCAGATTTTAGATAATCAATTTAAATCTGGTAAGATGGCATGTAGAAATTATACAATTAAAAATATGAAATCGCAACTTATGAAATGAAGAGCAATTATGATATAAAGGGTATCAAAATATACAAAAAAAAAGAGCTTAATATTTATTTGTTTACTTTATTAAACATTTCTTTCAATGTAAGTTATTTATGTTGCTTCTTTTTTTGCGCTAATACTTTCTCTTTAATTCTATAGACAAACATAATTTCCTCAGTTACAAAATTCCACTGCTCAAGTTCTATAATTGCTGTGTCAAAAATACCGACTTTTCAATAAACTCTCTGTCACTTTCTTCACTATCGGTAGCGGTATTTTCTGGATCTAGAACCAAACTACAGATTCCGTCATCTGTTGTTTGATTGATGTTTGGGGCATTGCATTCCCAATGAAAAACTTCTGTTATAAACATCTTCATTTATTACTGCTTCTCCACATTTCTTTACAAAATCCATTAACTGGAAAATTTCCCCTTTAGTTTGCGATATCCAAATACCTTCAAATTCGCGGCTATCATCTTCATTGTCCTTACCATGAAATGTGGTAGATGGCTATAAATTATGCCAAGCATTTTTAACGTATCTGGAGCCACATCCTCCCACAATCTTGTGATGCTCCACACAGCAGATTTTATGCTAAATATTAAAAAATTCTTGAATAGTCTTGCCTTTGTTCAAGAAATTTAACATTGATTTTAAAAATGCTACTTTATATTTGCATTCCAGCACGCACTATTCCGATATCAATAGGAATCCATTGACAGACATACAATTTGGAGCAAAGAATAATATGGATACATTATCTTTCACTAAAACTTCAAGTGAAGTATGAGTCGAACAGTTGTCTACAATCAGGACTATTTTTGAGTCATCAGGTAAACCACCCTAATTCAAATGTTGCCGAGCCTTGGGTATAAAATTATTTTCAAACCAATCATTCATTAATGCTTGTGTCATCTATGCTCCTTTATTTTCATGATATATAACGGGAAAATCATTACTCGATTTAAGTGCTCAAAGTCTTCTATTTTTGCTGATTATAAAAATTTGCACTTGTATGCTTACCTGCAGTATTTGCACACTCTAAAATTGTTAGTCTTGCTTTGGAATCTTTGACACCAGTTGGAGCCTTTTCTGTACAGGTTGCCAAGGTATTTCGTAGTGCATATAGCCAGAAAAGACCAGTTTTATCAGCTTTGTAAATTTGTTCTGGAGATAATTGTTCACTAGTAATGAGTTCAATAAATTCATCAGCAAACTGTTCAGCAGCTTCAGTATCAGCTGAAGCTTTTTCACCTGAAATTTTTAATTGTCTTGTACCATGGTGATTTTTAAATTTGGTTACCAACCTGTTGAATACGTGCACTCAGTGTTTTAGTTCATTTCTTCATGAATTATTTTGGTTCAAGCCAAAATTGGACCTGTCAATGCCATGCCAATTAGCATTGGACCCATCAATGGTCAATTAACATTGGACCTGTCAATGAGCGCCCTCGCTATGACACTGTCTGACCCACTAAATCATCACTTTGTCATGATCGTCACTTTTAGCATAACAAACACTTTTTTCTGTTATTCATTGCGAATGGGGTGTTGGAATTCACAAAAAATTCAAAAAGTTCCTTTTTCTTTTTTCTTACGTCATATAGAGTTCACTTTCTAATGCCGTACTCTTCGCATAAGTTTAGGACGGATATGCCTTTATCCATTTTTTGCAGCAATTCCACTTTTTGTTTAATGGACATCGAAACATGGTTTTACTTTGTAGATCCTTAGGCAGCCCCAGAATTGGAAACTCTTTTCGACATAATCGAAAGTTCAAGCTTAATTTTTATAAAATTGCCGTAATAATAACGATCTGCAAAAAATAATAAGCTGGAACAAATTAGAAGATTAGGGAGCAGCGCAGTCTACTAGATTAACCGAAATGCCTTGGAATCAGTAAAGATAATTTTAGCCTAGCTTAATAGCGTCCGTTATACATTATTGGCTGTGTATAACAAGATCGGCGATGAAAGCCAAGTTGTTTCGCTAAATTTTGTCTTGCTCCTACTGCGTACTGATTTAAGCCAGAATTGTACTTAGTTATTTACTATACCTACATTTATTTCTTGCACATGCTTTAAACTAATCTGAGTCCTGAATAAATAAACTCCCACATATACTTAAGGCTTCATCTAGGGCCGGTGCTAGATACCGTCTGGCGCAGTGTCTGCAGGTTCTAAATTCTGCTGCAAAGCATCTTCCTAAGTTCTAAATTTTCACCACGGCTAAACTTTGGATCCCAGGTGCTTTCCCTAAATCATAAAAAACTTCTCATCCCTTAATTTTGCTGATCGGTCCTTCTCCAAATTCGAAAAATTTTGTCTTCCCTAAATTCTGCCGTCCAATTCCGACATATTCTGCTGCCACTTCGGTTATTCTTAATTAAAATAGCCCTAAATGTAATCTTTTGGCCTATGAGTTTCATTAACAAAATCTACTTTTGTTGAATTTTTTCTCGCCAACATTTCTTAGAGCATTTAAAAATCTATAATCACTGCCAGGCGTAATGTTAGCAGAAAAGATTGCCTTACTCTTGTTGTTCAATTACTAATATATAAAAAAAGTTTAGACATCACTACATGAGTTATTACTGAAGCTGTCATGTATTGATAAACATGCGGTGATGAAAGCAAAGTATAACAAATAATGACATGCCAGGTAAGCATCACGAATATAGAATAGGTGAATGTTTCGGTTTGAGACGTAAATGACAAGTAGACATTCAGCTACGGAGCCATATTATTAATTTCACAAATTTATGCTTACATGATTGTTTTTTCATAATGAGATATTTTATTTAGTGCCTAAGTGAAATTAAGAATCGGAATTTTTATGTGAAAATCTCCACATTTTAGTATGGAAGGAAAAATTAAATGCACATGCGTAAAGCATACAAAAAAAGTTTGTGGCTTTGAGGTCTGGATTTTAGATCATTCCGGATAATGGACGTCTGGATTTCGGACTTTGTACTGTATGTGGTGAAACACTGATATCTTATGCAACTTTCTTCAGTCTTTAGGACTAGGTTTCCACTTCCTGCCCATGACAATAATATTTACTTATGTAAAGAAAGCAGAAACGACTGAGATGAGAATATTCCTAAATTGGACCATACATCTTTTAGATCTTAAGCCCACCTATCATTGACCATGTCTGGAATGGTCTCAGCAAATACACACAACAAAAGAGCCCATTACTCTAGAATGAGCATAAACTTCAAACTGTCTAGCATAAAGAGTTAAAAAAGCATCCCAACAGCCTTTCATAACAATCTTTTAAAAAAACATGTAAAGCCAAATCATGCAGACAGTATTTGAGTTCAAATTGGTAATGCTACTGATGTAATGCCTTATGTGATCTATTACCAATTATAAGAAAGCTAACATTTTTTATGATTACTCCATTAAGATCTACAGAATCTCTCTGTGTCACTCTTTTTTGGGGGAGGGGGGTTATTCAGTTCTTTTCCCTGACCCAAAATCTACACCCATTTTACTTTAAAAACAATTAAAATTAGTTTCCCAGTTATAGATTGGGTACATTTCACTTCTTGGAACAATGTCCACTATAAATTGTGACACACAATGCAACTGCTCTTTAGCAGTTGCAAGCAATAAAGTTAAGAAATCACTTTTTGCATCCATAGAGATCTTTAGTATCTGATAATTTAGGAAATATGTGTAAAAATTTAAATATGAATTTCATAAATCTTTTCATTACCTGGTAAATCTGGCAAAGCTAATGGAACATCCATCTCTGGTACTTCACCAAGGCCAGGATTGTAAAAGTAATTAATTTTTTCCACGGCTTCAATTGGTTCTCGCTGGCTAATAGATAAGGGAGCAGCACCTATTTCATCAGTTGCTGATTCTTCTTCTAAACTCTTCCTTGTTTTCGTAACAGCTCCTAAAGGATCCAACACAACATACTTTTTGTACCTGAAAGATAAAAAATATTTTAAAATTACAGTTAGAATGCCAAAATATACAGTATATATTAAAATAATGCTATCATTTATTCTCTTTTTGATCTTTCTGATTATCCATAGTGGCTTCACACTCAGTAGAACTGTTGGGTTTTGGACAAATTTTTATTATACATACAGTAAGAAGTAATTTAAATATCATGTCCCACACATTTTCGAGTACACATAGATTTACACACTTTATATTTAGCTATTATATTGCAAAATAGTATCCACTGGCTCTAAACATATATATACATAGAGAGAGAGAGAGAGAGAGAGAATCAGTGGATATATATGTACATATACACACATTACAGATTATTTTTTTATTTCCACATAAAATTTTCTCTCTGCTACAAAATTGTTCTTTTTGTTATTATTTATGAATAGTACCTTTATGAACAGTATTTATTTGAGCTATAAAAAGAGCCAAACAAACATTCTTTGCCAATTCACCATAGTCAGCAATGATTTAGCAAGTTTTCATAAGAGTGAGGACTATTATAATTTCAAATGATCATACCAGTTTAATAAGGAAATGATACAATATTAATTTAAAGAATGTATCACTTAGGTTGGAAATCTTGAATACATTAAGTGTTGGCTGAAAAACAAGCCTAAAATTAATGATAAATATACATTCTGCAGCTATTTAAAGTGTTGGTTTTTATGCAATTAGAGTACCTAATACGGGTATGACAACAATTTGTCAATTGCAATAAAAGAAATACTTTTCAAAATATTTGCAAAATGATACAATAGTAATCAAACTGTCCCCAGCAAATAGAACTGTATCTCAGCTCCAATTTAAGACCTCATTCTGTCTTTTCAATTTTGTTCTGGCCCCTACCTTCGCTTCAATACAACCAACATTTTGATTGGTCTATTTACCTATGGGGAGGGATGCCTTTGTGAAGGACTTTCTAAAGGAAACTGGCTCATATACAGATTACACATGGGACAAACCACAAAAGTGCCCATGCAGCCAGCCTATTCATGGGATTCAAACCTTGGACCGAACTACCAGCGACTTTACCTCTCGACCACCGACAGGGCCCAAAATTTTTAATAACAGTTAAGAATTTTTGTTGTTGTTGTTATGGGAGAATCTTCCCTAAATAATTTACCACAAAAAGAAATATGTGTCAAGTACACTGTGATATTAGTTATATTTCATTTGATTCTTATTTTATATGAATTACTGAGGAGCGATCAGAATGAAGACAAAACTCCCATTTGAACAGATCTTAGGCAACATAATTGCTTACTTGCTTAGGCAACATAATTGGATTAAATTTAAACTTAAATTTAATGTGCCATTCTAATTGCTTATGCTGCTTTGTTTTATTGCCAATAAAAGGTTCTTTTAAAAGAATTTATTATACTTTAATTTTTTGTTTACTGAAATAAATAACCTAAAACAAAAACAAATTCTTAAACAACATTTCTTACACTTCGAAAAATTTTACCATTTGTTTTTTGGGACTGTATAACGAGAAAAATTCAAAGATAACACTAAAAAATGTCCTTCTGTGTTTAATGAATATCAATGTCTGAGATTGACATTATTTTTATCATTTTTAGTTACATTATATTTAATTCCAAAAAATGGTTATTACAGAACAGAAGTAGATTTATTATCATAAACCATCTACATAAAACTAAATTGTGAAACAAAAACACAAGGAAGAGAAAAGTGTGTAGGATTACAGTAGTGACAGCAGATGATGTCTTAGTACAGAGGTTGGCCCACAGCTTAATACTGTATTTCACGTGAAGAAAATTTAAGTAAATCAAATTTAATGTTCTAATGTGACTACTGAAAGTCCAGTTCAGAAATTATTGAATAATGATCACAGGTAGCACTAATGTCATCATATATTCACATTTTGTTGTTTCCGTGAAAAAAGTGTTGCCAGTAAGTTATCTCAGTTTTGCTTTAGCATCACATGTGGTATGGTCCGTCATATCTGTTGATGCTTATTGACAATTGACACTCTGTGATAATTTGTTTTATTTATTTCTCACTGCTGCCATGTCACCCTTAAGATCAGATAAGAAGGAAAAAGAGGACTTCAAATGCAGCAGATTGCAGGTTTTACAGCAAAATGAAATGTGAACTGTATTGTCATGGAATTAAATGACAATGTATTGGCTATGGAAATAAGCTTTTACTACAGACATCATGGGACATCTTAACAAATTTAGCATAACATTACAGAGAAAACAGTGCTTGTATATGAAACACAATATACCATAAAATATTATCACAAATAATTGTATTGTTTGGAACATTAATTGCATTAAACCATGTAAGGTACATTTTAACTTTCTAACAGTTATTTTCATTTTAAAGTGCTTTCCTATCAGTTCTTGTTTCCACTTACAAAAACATACCGGAATAAGTTTTTAGAATCACATTGAATGCAAATAAGATAGCAGAAGTATTTAAGAAAGATTCAATTTCCTTCGTGACAGTGAGCTAGGAATCCCGAGTAGCACATGTTTGTCTTCGGGCTAACTCTCTCTTGAAGCTGTTAGGCTCGGCCATATATTATGCACATTTTGATATTCGCCAGCTAGTTTAAATTAAGGGCCAACAGGGTTCGTACACATTTCCTTACATGAAAATTAAGGACTTTTAAGGACCATCAAAGAAAAAATTAAGGACCTATCAGCAAATGAAAAAACGAATAGAATAAAGCAATTATCCATATAACCGACTTCATGCTTGTAATTTCAGTTTAAGAAACTAACAGAAGTGTGTATTATGCACTATTATTAAATTCAATTTAATACTTACCATAAAACAATTTTGAAAATTAAACTAACTCCCTACAAGTTATGAAGTAGATAACATTAAATTAGGAACATAATTTCTTTAAAAACATGTATAAGTGTATTTTACACTAATAACAGTCACTATTTTAGAGATTTACATGATTATTATTTAACTTACTTGATATTTATTTAAACACAGTCAACTACTATTATAATCACAATGTAAGAATATTTTGCAGATTAAAATAACTGATTGTGAAATGTCCTTCTTGCGGCATTTATCATTCATTAACTGCTCAGCAATGAATCCCAAATAAACTTTACTTTTATCATTATAACAATTTGGATCATTAAAATTAAATTTATAAAGATTTTCTGCTTTAGTTATTTTTGAATATTCTAGTTTCAAAATTTTAAAGTGCTGAAGGCAATCATTTACAAGTTTTAAGATATCTTCAGCAAAAAAGGGAATAAGTGGTTTATCACTTTGATAATATTCAAGGAAAGGCAATAATATTTTCGACAGAGAGAGAGAAAAAAATTTAATTTTATAAGAAATGTTTTATCTTTAGTTGCCTCCAAAATATTTGAGAAGGATTTCGATGAATTTTTTTTTAAACTTCCCCATTTCAACTTCTTTAATGTACAGTAGCAAGTCATCCCATATTTCAATGGCTCTTTCAACTGCTGGGACATTTTGCAACCATCGGTAAAAGCAGAACTTCACAGGTAGCTTTTTTAAGCCAGATATACTTAAAAAATCTTCACGTCTTGCAGGAGAATCTTTAAAAATCCAATATAAGGAGGATAAGAATGATGGAATGTCCCAGCCAGTGGATGACATCCTATGCTTGAAAGCATTGTTAAGAATGTGTAAACCACATGTCCCTAATGTCAAGCATTGAATGTTATATTCCTTTGTCAAGTCCTGTTGCAATAAATCATAAAATTTCCAGTTTACTGCAGGACCATCCATCGATATTTGTAAGAGTTTTGACAAGTCTAGTTTTTCAACACATTCATAAAATTTGGATAAAATAATTTCACTTGTTGCATGCCCTATAAATGCAGAAGTAAGGTACTGAGTTCTGACCTTATTTTCGTGATGCCAGTACCTCACATAAATATCTAGTTGCTTCTTTTGATTTGTCAGATTAAGAGTCTCATCAAATAGTAATGTAAAAAACTCAGCATTTTTACAATGCTTTAGTAACAAAGTTTTAAAATAAGGGCCAAGACCAAAATAACAGATATAAGCACATTTCTTTTCACCACATGAAAACTATTTTGCAATGGAACTATCCGGGAACATTTTAGTGAATAACGGCCCAATATCATCGCACGATTTAAAAGAATAGTGGCTTTTGATGCACTTAAAAGCCCACAATATTTCTGCATCTGTAACTTCAGATTTGAAAAGAAAAGAATTGATTTTATTATTTTCTACACTTATTGATGTTGAATTAGCAGTTACATCTTTTCCTGAAGTAGATGGTTCTTCTAACTTGACTGACAAAATTCATGATACTGTTAGAAGAAACTCTGCAGTTGAGAAGGGAAAGATGTTTTGCAGCTAAAAGGGGCATTACATGCAAGGCATTAGTAAAATTAAGTATCATATATATATATATATATATATATATATATATATATAATAAGCTATACCAGAATTTAAATTTTTTTACTTTTATACGTATTTGTTAAGAATTTAAATTTGTTTTAAATTTAAATTTCATTCCTTACAGCAATGGCGCAAAATATTTAATTAAATATGTATTTAAATTTAATTTTTTTAATTAAATTCAATTTATTCTTATGAAACGATAAGAAATATATTTATATAATAAAAAATGTATACTGAAAATGTACATTTTTTACTATATACATATATACTTTATTCCAAAAGAATTTCTTCGGAAATACTAATATACTTTTGTATAAAGTTTTTTTCGCATTAAACAAGAGCTTCAATGGTCTGTTTCGGCGAAACGCGTAATGGTATTTAGCCTATTTTGTAGATCAGTTTTTTTTCCCTTGAAAAGCCAACTGAGAGTGCGAGTGGGCTAATATACCATTTTTCCGCTATTTAATTATTGTTTTTGTAGCTAGTTTTTGATGCTTTTTGTGTCTTTTTATTATTTTTTAATTTTGATTTTAATTTTTATGTATTGGCATATTATATATTGGCAA